CTCTGAAGTATTTTTGCAGCCTCAGTGCCTCAGAAATCATAACTCCACAAATATTCGAAAAACACTCATGGGAAGAATCTAAAACATGTAAAGTAAGAGTTCTCAAGAAAAACTACTAACCTAATTATGTCATGAAAAGCATATGTAGTCAGGACTTAGTAACATTGCAATCTGAGAGGCAACCAAACTGAGAGCCAATGATACATTTAAAGGGTTAAAAATGGTTTACATAGAGGCAGGTGAATATGGCTGAGCAGATAAAGGTACTTGCCACCAAGCCTGAAAACCTGGGTTTGATACTGGAGCCTGCCTGCTGGGAAGAGAGAATCAATTCCCATATGCATACCCACACAAGCTAAAGAAATGCTAAACAAACAAGCAAGCAAGCAAGCAAACAAATAAATAAATAGATGTTAAAAAGCTTAAGAGAAAAACAAAAATACAATGCTGATGAATCTGAACTTTTGGAGTAAGATTGTCTGAGGTGGGTCAGACTTTAACAAAGTGTAGTAACTGATAATATGAGGTCAGGAGACCTAGACTTCATTTATAAAAAGGATAGTAAAACAAAACTTGAAGAAAATGAAAAGCCAATGTTTACTCTATGTTGTGTTAAGAAAACATACCTAATATACTTAGTTCTTATTGAGGTTTTACTGTAAACCTAATGTCTTTACCTTTTTTTTGGACACTATGCAGGATTGGCTGGCCTGGAGCTCACTCTGAAGACTAGGCTGGTCTCAATTCATAGAGCACTACTTGCTCCTGCCTCTGCCTCCCAAGTTCTGAACTAAAGTCATGCGTGGCCATACCTGGCATTATCAACTTGAAAACACTGCCATGTTTTAAATAAAGAAAATGACTTAACATCTAGCATGGCTTATGTTGCACTGTCTATTTAATGAAGACATAAACTAGAAGTAGTATATTTAAAGTTTAATAAAGTATGTAAGTAATAAAAATAAATTTCAGATCTTCTGTTTGGGAAGCTTCCTTCTATAGTTACAGATCTTAACCCAGTTACCCAGTAGCTCAATTAAGAACATATAAGCAAGAGCAACAAATTAATTAAATCAGAACTATACACTTGTGAATTAACTGAACAGGACACCATTAGTCAAAGGGGCCATTACTTCTTTTGGTGTCTAGTAACAAACTGTAACAGTTTCTATTCAAACTAAACCTAATTTAGGCCTACACTTTTCATAACAACAAACCATGTTTCAGCCAACCCCAGAGGCCAGCATGTCTCGTCAGCCCTAACCAACATCAGCACCTCTTCCCTCTGGGTCCAAATGAAGTCCATGCTGAAGAACAACCAATCTCGAGATGCTTCTACTCTGCTTCCTGCTCTCTTTCTTAAGCTGTTGCTTCTGCATCTAGGTGGGGTGAGCTTGTTCTGAGTACTGCCTGATTCACAAATTTGTTGGTAGCTGAAACAAGAGCTGTTAAGCCCAACTCGCCCCAAGCCTTCCTTCTGCCACTCTCTTCTTGAAAACATCTTAGGCTAGTTGGTAGGATAATCTCACAGAGCTTTATGCATTGCACCTCCCTTGAAGGAGAAACTTACTAACAGCAAAACTACTGAATTGTGGAGCCAGCTAACAAAAGAGCTGATTTTCCTTATTAAAAAGAGACCAAGCCACCCCTCACCCCACAATTTTGTAGGTTATCATAAATGATGAAAATGTTTGCTTAGTTTTAAACATGCTTTAAGAAAGCTCCCTACCAAGGAACATGCATGGAGATAACCTAGAACCCCTGCACAGATGTAGTCCATGACAGCGTAGTATCCAAGTGGGTTCCATAGTAATGGGAAGAGGGACTGCCTCTGACATAATCTGATAGGCCTGTTCTTTGATCACCTCCCCCTGAGGGGAGAGCAGCCCTAACAGGCCACAGAAGATGACAATGCAGCCATTCCTGATGGGATCTGATAGACTAAGATCAGAAGGAAGGAGAGAAGGACCTCCCCTATCAGTGGACTTGGGAGGGGCAAGCGAGAAGAAGGGGGAGGGAGGGTGAAGCTGGGAGGGGAGAAGGGAGGGGCTTATGGGGGGATACAATGTGAATAAACTGTAATTAATAAAAAAAAAAAACCTAAGAAAGTATATGATGGGAAAGGACTAAGAGACTAAGAAGGACACTCTTGCCAAGTATATCTAGCTAATAAAAGACAATAAAATGATTAGAAAAATAAAGAAAAAAGAAAGCTCCCTACCCTGGAAATCCAGACCTCTACGTTTAAATGATGAAGTTGGAATTGTATACTCAGAACTACTAAGAATAAATCAAATTTCTCTAAGACTCAGAAAGCAGGTCTTGGAATATGAGACAGGCACACATTTCTTTGTATGTAAGATGAAATGAAGAAAAAAAAATTATGTCAGCTATTACTACTTGCTGAGCAAGACAATACTCGCTGAGCCAGACAATGCGCTTGACTGTTAGGCGGGCCCTACTCTTGTTATTGTACCTATAGAAAGAGAAATTAAGGGAAGGAAGCATCCATCACTCAGTGTCACACAGTCAATTAGCGGTGGGCATTGACAACCACAGAGTTTTTTAAAAAGGACCAAAGGCTTACCAATTAGGCTGGGATGGTTGGCCAGTGAGACCCAGGGATCCATCTGCGTCCCCAAGACCGGGATTACAAGTCCTCGCCACCACATCCAACTTTTTACAAGGAAAGTAGGGATCGAATATAGGCCTCATGCTGGCGCATCCAACTTTAATGAATGAGCTCTGCCTGCTGCCCCAGTCACAATGTGAGCATGTGCGCATGACACATGCATGTCTATATGTGTGTATGCACTTCTAGGTTCCTGTGCATATTTTTGAGGCAGGGTCTCTCACTGAACCTGGAGCTTTTGGATTGGACAACACTAACTGGTCAGGGGGTTTCGAGAGCTTCCTGTGTCTGCCTCCCCAGTGTTAGGATTCCAGGTGTGTACTACTACTGACTTTTTATATGAGTGAGAGGGATCCAAATCTGGGCCCTCACTCTTTAACATAAAGTAATTTATCAACCTAGCCATAGCCATATCCCTGGATTGTGTCTCTAAACTTAAGGGCCTCTTGTGTGTCACATATAAAGTATAGAATATACTTCCGTAGATTATGTTTTAATCATAAATTTGAAGTACAAATATCCTTTTATCAATTCAGTATGACACAGAAAGGTACAGTTATACTCCGCATAGAATATAGCTTCTGTACACACTTATATGAGGATATAAAGGAACCCTAGGCAAATCTATGGAAGGACCAAAGCCAACACCTTGACTCATACTAAGAAATAATTTAATAGATGAAAACATTTTCTGATTTATTCCATAAAGAGTGTGCTCACCTCTACTTGTCTCTAAAAATCAATGAGACAAGAAAAGGCTGGACTCTAGTACTATTTTTAATAACAAAGGGTCAAATTTAATTTGTATCCTATCTTTGATAAACAACAACATCATAAGAGTAAAGAATATGGAAATCATGCTTTTGCTAAAACAGGTCTGTTCAAATAACTAGTCAAGAAGCAGAAAATCTTGAAAGCCAGCCAGCCAGAGATTCAAGGTGAATCATTACCTAGCATGGTACCCTAAGAAGCACAGAGGTGATTCTGCCAGTGACCTGAGCACAAGGACTCTAAAAAAGTAGATAAAAGCAGAGGGCAGGAGAAGGAGGGGGGTGAAGGAGGGAGAAAGAAAAAGTGTAAATGGAGAAACAGAAGGAAAAGAGATGAAAATAAAAGGGGCTAGGAGGGAATATATTAGGGAGAAAAGTGAGAAATTTAACTCAAGAAAAAATACAGTGGAAACAAATGATCAAGATGGAAAAGGGTTAAAACCCAAAAGATGCTAATATAACTTGATTTTCAAAATGATTTTGCAGTTCATTCAAAACTGAGATATTCAGACCAAATGGAACTCTGAACATTAGGACAAAGAAGCTATAGCCCAGAGGTAGAATGACTGTATTATAACTTCTAAAAATTAGGTTAAATGAGATGAACAAAATTCAAATCCACTGAGAATTTTAGACTGCAATATACTTTTGGCAGATAGAATATGATCGAAGCAGACTCACAGCCAAACTTTGGACAGTACTTAGGGAGTCTTACGGAAGAAGGGGGAGATAGAAGGACCTGGAGGGAATAGGAGCCCACAAGGAGGCCAACAAAGTAAAAAAAATCTGGGCCCAGGGGGGATTACAGAGACTGAAACAGCAACCAAAGACCTATGCCTAGAGAGGACCTAGACCTCCTGCCCAGATGTAGCCCATAGACAGCTCTGTCTCCATGTGTGATCCTTGTAAGGAGAGGAGGGACAGTCTCTGACATGAACTCAGTTGCCTGCTCCATGATCACTTCTCCCTGGTGGGGTGACCTAGCCAGCCCACAGAGGAAGAAGATGCAGATGGTCCTGATGGGACCTGACAGGCTAGGGTCAGACAGTAGGGGAGGATCAGTGGACTAGGGGAGAGGTATTGGGGAGAAGAGGGAGGGAGGTGCGACTGGGAGGAGATGAGGGAGGGGCTACAACTGGGATACAAAGTGAATAAATTGTAAATAATGATAATTAATAATAATAATAATAATAATGATAAATCTATTCAATTAAAAAAGAATATGGTATTTTTTAAAAGAATCTGGGAAAAAAAATTAATTCCAGGCTAGTACATCCTAAAGCTAAAATTTAAAAATAGATGCCTCATGAAAACAAGTGCATAGATACAATTACTGGAATGTCTATAAATATAACAGAACAGGAGACAGCTGGTCTGATAATATTACCTAGGAATTCTTCAGATATTTTACTTCCCCAGGGTGCCTTGGCTTCAAATATTCAGACATCTGACTCTTAAGGGAAATCTCATCAAAGCAGTCCTAAAGCCTATCTTGGCTAAGAATAATTTCAGAAAAACAACTAAGATGTCAGAGTGGATAGCCACATGTTTTGGTATTACTAAATATGTAATTAGTTGGAAAAAAATATTACACTTACTCATACCACTGCTTATTGTGTTTTCGGTAAAGCAAGGTATCCAAGGCAACAGCATTGACATCCAGAGCTCCTGGGGAAGGCCACTGGTTGGTGAGGTGGGCAGTTAACTCTTGTCTTGATCTTAAATCATTATTCTTTAGCACAGTCCTGTGGATATTAAGATGGTGAGTGCTTTTGTCTTTACTCTTTTTTTTTTCTCAATGGCAGAGGAACCTAACTGGTATTTAGTTCCCAAAGTAATTGTTTACAAAAGGTATGTCAGCAGACTGAGGGGAACCACAGCAGGGCTGGCTGGGACTCACTGTGCCATCTCCTGCAGCAGGTGCCTTTCAGACTCTCTCTGCTGGCTAGGGTCAATCACTAGTATTGAAAATCAGACTTTCTGTCTTCACCACAGAGGTGTTAGTGAAGTATTAAAGGGCCCAACAGAAGTTTAAACCTAAACCAAAAGCAATGGTATCATAGACATAGACTATCAGATGCTAGCTAAAACATAAGATTCCATGGCTATGATCTCCTGGTTCAAAAACTCAGAAAAATTGAAAGTAATTTAACTCAAGTAGAAAGATCAATTTAAAAAATAAAAATATATAAAAATTTAAAATCCATGCAACAAAATTTTAAAGGATATTTTATTTAAAAAAATCATTTATTTACTTTTTAATTTTAATTTAAAAAATTTTAATTGTCTGTACATGTGTGTGCCTGTGATATGTACACATAAATACAGTGCCCCTGGAGGCCAGAAGAGGGCGTCAGATCCCCTGGAACTGCCTCACGTGGACAGCGAGAACTAAACACAGATCATCTACTCAGCAGGACATGCTACTTTTAACTGCTCAACCATCTCTCAAGACCTATAAAACTGTTTTTGACAGAAATGACTACCAACAAAGTCTCATGAAAATAAATAAATCAGTGTCAACTCTACTAAATGCTGTAGCCAACTGGCAATGTTTCACCAAGTTTTTCGTTACTTATAGAATTGTTACTTGGTAGGAACAACTTGCAAAAGAATTAAAGTTTTGGCAAATTTTCAATTCACATGGAAAAACTGACTATTGTCATAAGATTAATTCAACATTTGAATTGACTATTAAAAAATGTAAAAGCAAAGGTCTTACTCTAGCTCTAAAAGCCTTAAAGAACATCTGGGCAACCCATGCTCTCAAGAAGAAGCCTATGACCTCTGTGTGCACTAAGATTCTGGCTTGCCATGTCAGGGAGTTTTCGGATACCTACTAACCTCTGCAGTCCAAAGGCCTGTACTGGATGCAGGAGAGGGGCCCTGTGAGTAGCTGGCAGCACAATCTCACACTATCAACAACCTGCTAGCACAGCCTCTGACTGAACAGCCGTGTTTACATGTCTCAAGTGTGCTCTGGAATATTTCTGATTCTACATTCTGTATTACAACTGTCTGCTAAAAATGTGTGTTCTACTATACAAAGAGAGAAACACTATCTAATACAGACACTGAATTTTGTCTCATAATATTGAACTAAAAAGTCAGTGAGAATGAATCTTACTAAGATATAATTCCCCCCCACCTAGACAGTTGCCACAATTCTTTTCACAGGAAAAAGATATAAAATTGATTTAAAAGACTTTTATTGATTTAAAAGACTTAAATTAACATTGTGTATTTAATGAAAACAAAACTTTACAGAAACTTTAAGGTTATTAGAAAAGGAAGAAATAAGGATTTTGGCCTGGTAATCTACCACACTGTAATGCTGTTATTTTGGGTTATCATAGTAAATATTTCTCTATTACATATTCCCTCCCTTGGAGGTTTCTGGTGTATATAAATGGAAAACTCAGCTTCAATGACATGAGTAGATCTCAGGCAACATTCCCACAAGGATGTAAGAAATACAATTGTGCATCTGTGAATAACTGACACTGGCAAACTCTGTTAAGAATGAGTGCCAGCATAATTTCCTACCTACCTACCTACCTACCTACCTACCTACCTACCTACCTACCTACCTATATTTATTTATTTATTTTATTTTATTTATTTTTTATTTTTTGAGACAGAGTTTCTCTGTGTAGCCCAGGCTGTCCAGGAACTCATTCTGTAGACTTGGCTGGCCTGGATCAGCCTGCCTCTGCCTTTGTCTCCCAAGTGCTCAGATTAAAGGCATGCACCATCACTGCCCAGCTACAACTTCCAGTTTATAATGGAGTTTCTTTTTGTCATCAGTTTTGGCAGCAAGTACCTTTGCCAACGGAGCCTCTCTCCAGCCCTGTGTGTTATCTTTAGACCTCTGTCCTTAGGAATCCTAATAATACTGTTCCCTAATGACAGCTGATTGGACCTTTAAAATGGTATGAGAGACTTCAGTGTGTGAAACAGACATTCAGCACACACTTTCCATTTTTCACAAGAAGCGTGCAAACAGGAAATTCCAGCATTTGTCCTCCTGTGGAGCAAAGAGGTTCCTAGAGAACTCCCCTCTCGGGACACCACAGAACACGCAAGTGAGTTAAGTCAGATCAAAAATTCCATTCTGTATTTTAGATATTGACAAGAATCTATTTTGGGCTATTAATCTACTCAAGAAGTGGGGCCCTGACCAAGGTCAGCAGAGAACTTCCCACAGTCCCTACTTCCAGCTGTCCTCTCTCCACACCCACTTCTCCACTCTACTATCCTGCAAACTACAGCTTTCCAGTAAACTCTACCAAGGCCAAGAATTAACTGAGGTTGCTTTCAAACTAAACATTCTCATCATTTACCTTCAAATGATACCAAGTTTATAGCAAGACCTATTCAAAGTGACTCAACAAAGGTTAGTGAAAACAAGAATATTTTTCTTTCTTTTTCGAAGGTTTTTTCCTTTTTACTTATTCTTCTCTCATATATTACATCCCAACTGTAGTCTCCCCTCCCCCCCTTCTGCCAAGTCTCCACCCAGCTTCACCTCTCCTCATAGAAGAGTAGTACTTCCAGGGGCATCAACCAAATACAACATACCAAGCTACAATAGGACCAGGCACATACTCTCAACACCAAGGCTGGATGAGGCAACCCAGGAGGTGGAAAGGGGTACCAAAGGCAGGCAAAAGAGTCAGAAATAGCCCTTGTTCCCATTGTCAGGGATCTCGTAAGAACACTGAGCTACACAACCATACATACATGCAGAGGACCTAGGTCAGACCCAGACAGGCTCCCTGTGAACTCTGAGCCCTCCACATCTCAGTCATTAATTCTGTGGGCTGTGGAGAATATTTTTCTTATTCGTGCCTAGCCTCAAAGTAACTTTACCTTAAATCACCAAATAATTGTTATTTAATCATGTTAAACAAATGATTAAAGATAAATATTCACTATTTCACATTTTACTTAAAACTCTAATTAATGCTGAAATTAGTCAGCTAATCTAGATGTGGAATCATTCTATGTGATGGAAATACATCATTTTTTTCACTCTTACACAAAGAGAAAGATTCTACAGAAAGCTTCATTAAACAAAATTATTTAACCAACTGAGTAACAGTACTAAATATATATATTATTTGTGCCTTGTTTATTGGTTTTTAATTTTCATTTTATTTTATTTTATTTTTTGAGACAGGGTTTCTCTGTGTAGTCCTGGCTATCCTGTAACCAGGCTGGCTTCAAATTCAGAAATCCACCTGCCTCTGCCTCCCAAGTACTGGGATTAAAGGTGTGTGCCACCACTGCCCAGAAAGAATAATATACTTATTGGTTATTTCTGAAAACTTTTCTGAGATACTTATCTCTAAATTAGTAAAAGCTCTTTTCTTTTTGGATTCTTAATAGAAATTATTCAGGAATTTCATCCTTCAAAAATAACATAATTCAGTCTTTATGAATATAAAGATTAAAATATCACTAAATAAATAACTTATTTATGTGGATTTTAAGCTAAATCAATTCCATCAAGCTTAAGCATAATCTTACACATCTTAAAGTAGTGACCTAGAGGCAAGTTAGGTACAAAGGCTATGCATGAAGGAAATATGTTCAAATTATAAATTTCCTTGACTGATGAAACATTATCATCTCCTTGCTGATGCTCTTTAAACATTGATCATTTCTCAACCATATTTCAAAAATTTCAAATTCTTGGCTTGGTGCTTAGAAGTACTTGTTGCTCTTCCAGGGGACTCAGACTGGGTTCCCAGAATCCATGTGGGTGGTCCACAGTCAATTGTAATCTAACTCCAGGGGATGCAATGCCCTTTTCTAGCCTCTGAGGGCAATACGCTCGTGTGGCATTCCTCACACAGATACACATATACCCATAAAAATCAAATCTATCCTTTCCTCAAGATCCATTTCACTTTTTGATTCCTTCACGGAGATTTTCAGACACCTTATTTGACCACTGTGAGGCACTGTAAGAATTCTAAGAGGTCTTCCTCTCTCCTTTGCTATGCTTCTTTCTCAGATCAGACGCCATGCTTGTGTTCATGATGAACTCACACTTCTATTTGTTGGAGACATATTATAAAGTTTATGATCCTTAGCACCTAGGGAGTGAACATCTGTGGTTCCAAGTACTCATAAACTGTCCAAAGGGTCCAAGATAGGAAACAATCTTTAATTGTGATAATATAATACACTGGAATCATGGGAGCCAAGATGTAAGTTTTATAGGTGAGTATCAAATTGTACCAGGACTGGCTAATTTTTGAATTCCAAAAGCGTTTACTGGAAACTTACTCCTAAAGACAAAAGTATTGCAAACGATAGCTTTGGGAGGTGTTTCAGTAATGAGGATTTCACTATCACAAACTAATATCCTAGTACCAATTAATCCACACATAGGTGACTCAAGGACTCGAGGACAGACTTAGATATCTTACTTGATCTTACTTGTGTCCCTTTGTCTTTTACTGTGGGATGACAGCACAAGAAGGACTTTCATCACATACTTTTTGACTTCATGACTCTAGATCTGTGTTTTTTACAAGTTATAGTTTTGGGTATTCTGTTAAAGTATCAGAAAACAAACCGAGACATCACTACAGCAAGCCAGTGATTTTCCACCTATTGTGGGATGCATGTCTGATGTTCTTTATGTATTCGAGTACTCTGGGACACGGTACGCTGAAAAAAATCCTTATGAAATTAAAAAAAGCTAATCTAGTAAAACTACAGTAAGGCAGAA